CCACGTAACGGCGTGTTTTTTAAGTTAATTTTAATACCTGCGCATTGTCAAATCGAGAGAGATTTATGTGTTATTTCGAACGATATTGCAAAATCAAATCTTTAGTCGAGTATTTGAGAATGGTTTGGCAATGTGTTAAATTCTTTTAATTCTCATCTTTTTTTTTTTTTCTTTCAATTATATTACCATGCGTGAGAGATAATTAACTGCAAAAATATAATACAGCACTTGTCACAGCTGTGATTTACACTTTATACTCGAAGCGACTTTTATGTCCTTTTTAATTCTCTGGATTGAAAGCGAATATTCCACGCACCTGAAACTGTTGAGAATATTAGAAAGACAGATGGAAATATTTTTATTGAGAAAAGAAAAGTTTACTTTGAATAAAGCGGGATTGTGAACGATTTTTTAACGAATGCACTGACTGACATCGATATATCGAAATATTTCATGTATATGTATGTACATTAATTTATATGATAATTTGATTTTGCGTGTGAAGATGAGAAGAAAACATTTCGCAACATGCGTCACGATCGAGTTTCTTTCAATTTTTCTTTACGAATTGTTAATCTATCAAATTTTGTGAGAAATCTTTTCAAATTCTTTTCCCGCAAAGATCCATTTAAAATATTTAGAATAGCAAGAACATCGACGTGGCGATATTTTTTTTATCGATCCAAGTGGTCCTAACGATAAAAGCGTGCACTTTTATAATGTTCCGTTTCGAATTGATCAAAAACATAAAGCGGTTGAAAGTTATTTTTATACGATTTTTATAGATGCGTTTCGGGAAAAGAAAGTTACTGCGGTCATTTATATGATTGTTGCGAACTGTACATACGAGGTATATAGCGCAAACAAGTTTGTAAAGTTATAGATTGTAAATAAAACTTTTTGTTCTAATAAATCTTTTCTATATGCTTTGATTACTCGCTATAATTGTTGTAGGGTTGTATCTCGATAATGTGTAAGTACACGTTGCACTGAGTTTGCGATATGTTGTATTATAAAATAAAAATTGTAATTTACCCGAAATCTGTATTAGAAAGTTGTATTGCGGTAACACCAATTTCTCTTCTTTATTCAAGTAATATATCTGGGATTATAATATAATTTATATATTATATATATATAATATATTTAATATGTTATATTATATTACATAATATTAAATATATTATCAGTATCTCAGACTACTTTGAATAAAACTTCAACAACTTACGCCTATTCAACTTAATTGCTATACAAGACGGCCGCAACTAATTAGCTATATTATTAATGTTATTATAAAGGTAACTACGATCAATAATCTAATTACTAATTATACACAGATAACTGAAAAAAAGCCAAAGACCTAAAACCACTCTATTTTGATGGTACCATTCCAAAAATTCACAGATTAATCCCCTTAACTGGTTTTTTGTAATTAACGTCCTGATTTGAATATTGCGGCGCCACCTGCTGGTAAACGTCGGTAACTTCAGAACCGATAACACATGTTTACTGACAGATGGCACCACAGTGTCCTGAATGAAGCACTAATTGAAAATTAACTTGCGAACTCTTAAAATTGCATTTTCGATTTTAGACCTTTAGCTTTTCTTTTATTTTCTTTAGCTTTAGCTTTTAGCTTTTAGCTTAATTCAGCTTTTTAATTTGACAAAACGCACGAACAAAAAGTTTCAGTTTTAATAGATCGAAACCTTTCCTTAAGCGACATGTAATTTCTCGTAAATTACATTCGAATTTGATCGTGAACGTAATCGAAGATTTCAACTTCATGCGTCGTTGTATACGCGTAGAATGAAATTAACCGCGTGAATGGGCAAATTAATCGTACTTTTTAATGTGTCGTAAAGAGGTTATTTGCACCATTTTACCGCTACGCGGCGCCAATACTTCAGTGTCTATAAAGTGATTCAATTTCTATTGGAATAAATTACTGGGAACTTTTTGAACATTTACAATCGAGTATTCGTACTCGGGCACTCAGCTTGCCTCAGTGTACTTCATTCAATTAATGAAACGAACGAATAAGAATTTAAAATTTTTTCAAACAAAAAATCGGTTAGCATTAATCAGTAAAGTTTCCATACATTTTATTCAGGCATTCGAGTTATATCTCGCAGAAGTAATCATCTCGTGACATGAATTCAAGAATCTCTTCTGTATACATTCAATTGTTTATTCAAACCGTTATCTGTGCCTGATTCTTATCTTATTTTCGCGCCTTTTATATAGCATATTTGCCACAAATTGATAATAAGAATTTGATAACGAGTCGTGGAGTAAATACCTCTCTGCACGATGGCAACGAATCAGGTATGCTAAAATTACAAATATCAAGGCGATACTTTCGCAGAAATTTCTTTAGAAAAATACACGAAATTACCACAAAGCGATTGTTTCGCAGATCGAAAATACTGTCCACTTGTATAAAACGTTGGCACGAAATCCGTCTCTGAGCAACGCGAGGATCCTCGACGTTAGCGAGAGCGGGATAACAATTCTGAGTGGTTGGTCTCAAAGGAATTTGGAAAGAAGAACAAACCAAAAATTTTGCCAGACTCACATTTTGGACTCAAAGTTACAAGTGCAATCCGACAGCTTTCCCATGGATACTACAGTAGAGTACGTTGCATTTTTGTGACAATGCAATTTGTCGTATGTTGTGAGATGTTACACATCTGAAAAGAAATTCATTTTTATTGCAGGTCTTTATCTGATTACACCGAAGATAAGCAACGCAGAGCCGTATTAAGACAGGCCATAATTGAAAATACCAATAAACAATTTATTGAAATCTGGGATAAACAGAGGCTCGTGAAGAATTATGATTTAAGTGCTTTAGATGTGCACGGAGATGTCTACACGGATTGTAATTATTAACCCAAAGTTGCATACAAATCAGACCGGTTAAATGGGATCATTTCTCAACTATTTTTCTGTTGAATGAAAAAAACTTCTGAAGACAAAATTGGACTGTTTTAAGAGACAAACATAATTTTGTTGGGAAATTTTTTTTTACTGATAATTTGTAAGCCATTTGTTTACAAGATCTGGAGGTCGTTATTGTTTTTTTTTTGCAATTAACTTGTATTTACCTTTTGAATATTCTTGTAGAGTATGAAAAAAAAAACTATCTATAAATTGGAAAAATATCCAAAAGTAACTTATAGATTAATTACAGGAACGATAACAATAATCTTAAGATCTCATAAATAAATGATCATTGAAAAAAGATATTTTCAGAATTACGTTTATATCTTAAAATAATGCAACTTTGTCGTTAGAGGTTTTTTTGTACCACAAAAAATGGATATTTAGGAGATACTTAGTTGATCCCATTTAACTTGTCCATCCTGTATATTCAATACATGTCTAATATTTAATAAGAATTCAAAAATTTTGTTTTTTCCATTTCCAGCTGAATTTGCTTCTTTCCAATGGTCTCCGGACAAAACAAAAGTATTATATATCGCTGAGAAAAAGCAACCAAAATCAGAACCATTCTATAAACAGAAACCTATAAATAAAGAAGATAAAGATAAAAAGGAAGAAAATAATGTAACAGTGGTAAATTACTTTTTTTTTTGTTTTGTTTTTAATGTAAATATATAGTAAGGAACTTCAGCTTTAACTGGTGAAATACTTGGTGTAGGGTAACGAATATATTTACAAGCCTCATTGGGGAGAACAATTGGTAGGTAAACACCATCCAGTTGTTGCTATCCTTGATACGACAACAGACACAATTTCAGCTCTCACGGGTATACCAGATAAACTATCACCTGCTCAAGTACTATGGGCTGCGGATAGTGAAAGTATCATTGGTGTAGTATGGAAACATGAGCCAAGACATTTAGGTCTAATTGCCTGTACTAATAGACTTTCTTGGATATTTTTGCTAACAAAAGGACAATACAGTAAGAAATAATCAACGTCACTTTTCAGTTTGTAAATTATTATACTTATATACATATATATATATATTTTTTTAGAAAAGCTCTCAAAAGATGGATGTGCAGTTCATAGCCCAAGACTTAGTCCTGATAAAAAATATTTAATCTGGTTAGAAAGAAAAGCGGGTGGTGCACATCATAATGCTCATAGACTTATGCATCTTGAATTTACTTGTAAAAATTCTAACAAGGTATTTATACATTAGGATATGCTTTGCTCAATGTTAATTTTATTTAAATTTATATTATAGTGTTTTATGCAGGCTGATGTGCTTATAGACATCGTACATTCGAGTATACCTATCCAAAATGCTGAAAAGTTTTATGGCTTATATGGTCGGTTACCACGCCGATGCTGGAGTATGAATTCACAGTATATATTTTTAAGTACAGCTCAACAGAATAACACACGTTCTTACATCGTTGACAGAAGTAAAAATTCGTGATATATTTCATTTTTATTCAATTTTTCTTTTGTTTAAGTTGGTCATTGGTAATAAAAATATAATTTGCAGAAACGAAAAGTATAACTGAGATTCAAAATGATAAAAGTAGTCTTACTATATTGGATGTAAGAAATGATATTATTGCATTTTCGGAAATGTCTCTTCTGGATCCACCTACGCTTACAGTAGGAAGATTTGATTCTGAAACAATTACTACTGGTCACATTAAAAGATATAAAGTTTCTGTTCCTGAAACGATCCCCGGTACAGAAAATTTAATGTACGAGACTTCCGAATACGATTACGACAACGACGAAGAAATTAGTAAGTAATTAAAAAATTAGTAAGTAAAAATTTCAAGAATTGAAAAATATAAGAAAATCTTATGATTTTTTGTAGAACATTTTAACTTCATCTATTTTGGGCCAAAAAGTGGAGATGATAAATCTGTACCTCTAATAATCGTACCACATGGTGGACCTCATGTTAACTATGCAAATTCATTTATACTGGATTACTTTTTGTTTGTTTTGTCAGGTAAATATTCGATTTACAACAATTTATATTTCACAATCTACCTTAACTTTTTTCTAAAAAATGTTTTATTTAAGGTTTCGCAATAGTACAAGTTAACTATCGTGGCTCCACTGGAATGGGATCAAAGAACGTTGAATACCTTCAAGGGAAAGTTGGAAATGTTGATGTGAAGGACTGTGTGACTGCTACAAACGAAGCTGTGCGAAAATATCCATGGTTAAATCCAGAGAAAATAGGAGTTACGGGTGGCTCGCATGGGGGATTTTTAGTTACTCACTTAAGTGCTCAATATCCAGTAAATTCATAAACTATTCATATATTCATATACTTAGCAATAATAATAACAACATTCAGTAAAATGCAATTTATTTTTGTAGGATTTATATAAAGCTGTTGTTGCAAGAAATCCTGTAATCGACATTGCCGCTATGTACTCGATATCAGACATTCCAGATTGGTAAAATATTATTGTATTATTAAAGATTTTTCATAGTTCTGAATTATTTCAATTATATTGCAGTCGCAATGCTCTGAGTAAGGAAGAAAGAATTAAGTAAGCTCAATTGTAGAATGAAATATTGTAAAAAATAAAAGAAACAATAATACAAAGATTAGGTATCATATAGAAAATTTTCTTTCAATTATTGTCTTTGTAATGCATTTAATTTCAGGTGTGCTGCTGAAATTAATTATCCTTTCGATGAAAGTGCACCACTCTCGGAATCAGATCGAGTTGAAATGTTTGTGAAAATGTTTAAGTGTTCCCCGATTATGCACGTTAATAATGTGAAGGCTCCAACTTTATTATGTGTCGGTTCGAACGACTTGCGGGTACCTTCATCTCAAGGAAAACTGTGGTATCAACGTCTTAAGGCAAATAACGTTAAAACAAAGTAAATAGTACAAATAGAAATCATAAATTACAAAATTCAAAATCTGCTCGTTCCTTTAATAGGTATGTATTTTTACAGAATGTTACTTTACGAAGATAATCATCCTTTAGCATCGGGAGTTGCTGAAATTGATAACGTTATCAACGCTTGTTTATGGTTACACGAACATATTGGACTATAAATGAAAATAATACGACGAATAATTTTGTAACTTAATACACGATTAATTAACTAACGAATATTTTTAACAATAATTGAAAAATAATCTTGTATAAATATATTTATTAAATACTGTATTTTTCCAACATTAAAAGCGGCTTATAAATTACAACCGAAATATCGTTTATCCTAAAATAGTATTTTTTCGTTGCTGAATAATTGACTGTCCGTAGTATTTTATATTTTAGTTCTTACAGGCTCTACATTTGTATCTCAGTACAGTTTTGCAGAATGAGTTATATAAAATATAAAAATATTTAGTATTATAAAGCTAGTGTATACAATATTGACAAAAAAGTTGGTATAAAAATTCAGTATTTTTATCGAGCTTGTTTGTGACTATATCTGATTCACTCAAAAAAGGCACTCATTCATACCATATATATCTGAGGACTGCATTGTATACAGCAATATCTAATTAAAACATTAGATAATAAGCTGTCAGTACGTATCAATTACATACAATAACTTACACTTATGATTATAATCTAACAGGATTGTTTTGTTCTGGAAATAGGGAATCGTAACTAGGTGGTAAATCTTTATCAGCAACCGACGAAGGAACCGCGACTTCTAACATTGGTGCTGAGGGAACTGGTGGATTAACAGGTCCCTCGGTATCATGTGGCAGTGGACCTGGTCTTGAACACACGTTTGTATCAGCACAATCGATAGACCAACATAATTTTTGTGACCTTTTACATATCCACAAACACATAACAAATATGATGAAGCATAAGATCATGGTAGTCACTGCACCCACTGTTACTTTTGTGCCGGTGCCGGAGCTACTAATCTCATGAGTACAATTAGCCTCGTCAGAACAAATACCTGGTACACAATTGTAAACCTCGTCACAAAAGTATTCATTTAGCATACAGGTGTTGTGACCAATTGATTTATACCTCTTGGAGTCCACATCACTGCAGTCTAAGATATTGAGTGTTATATTAAAATGATAATTCATCATCAAACTTTTGAGATCAAGTTAACTTACTTCCAAAAGACGTGTAAGCAATACGAAGAGCAAGAAATTCCCCCTCTTGCAATTTCTCTTTCGAAATAAATATTTCAGTTTCTAATTCTGCGTTAGATTTATGATGGCTTGGATCATATTCGGTATAAGTCTCTGATTCAGCACTATTTTCTGATTCAGGTGCTGAATACTTCATTTTATTACGATCAAGAAAACCACAGAATCTTTTTGTCTTGTGATAATCTTTCCTTTTGAACTGAAACAGATTGAAAACCAGTTGTTTAATTAGATTGAATAACTGAAAGGATTTGGTAATGCTTTTTATTGATCTAATATCTAATATAACAACAATGATATTCATTAAATGTACTTACTTGCACATAATCCAGACATTGTGTCCCGTTCTTTCTGAAAGACATCTTTTGAATGACACCGAACAGTCCATAACCTTTAGCAGTTATAATTTTGAACTTGCAATAGAAATTCGTGCGAACATTCCATCGGTCCAGCATGTACTTCGCCCGGACGATTGCAGCACTGGTGTTGATGTTTATAGTTGACACTTTACCAAGTAAATTGCACAGCTTCTCCGATTCTAATCCATCTAATAAAAAAAAAATGTACGTTAGACATCCTTCCCGATAATAACAAAAAAAAGAGAGAGAGAAAACGAATGTATTTATTGAAAAAGACTCACATTCGTCGTAATAATTATCGTGCAACGTACACAAACTGTAATTGACGCAATTGTTCACGAAATACAGCAAGCACAGAAGTAATACATTCCGTCGGGCCATTTTTTCCAAGGGCTGTCAAAAATCCATAAAGGACACGGGTCACCATCGATTATTAGTCTATGCTGTCTATGACTAATCCTTCAAGGAATATCCGTAACAAAACGACGAGAGGAATCGCAGTAATTACCGACCGTAACCACGTTTTCCGCGAAATTGCTCGGAGATTCACTGTCCGCACGGATACGTCATTCTTCGTCTATCAAAACAAAACGAATGTGTCCCCGTGCGTTCGAGAAAAACGAAGGGAGACGCGAGATCAGGATCGAGATCGAGATCGACAATCTCGACTCGACGGATTTCAAATGAAAACATCGTTGGAAAGGATATCATTGTTCTGTTTCGTGATCGAGAACAAGCTCTCGAAGACTCTTGGAGGACGAAGATAACGTTTATTGTGAAATACGTGCAAGATGAAAGTAATTAAGCTCGATTTTGGAGAGGTAGAAATTGGCAAAACAGCGGTAAAGATGATAGATATATGGAACGAGTCTTACGTAAGTGTGTGTTCAGTATCTAATTGCCGAACTAAAGCGAATTTTTTCTGTGAAACTTGAAGACACATAAATTTCGCAAGATGTACTTAATATACAAAACTATCTGACTAAAGTACTTGTTATAATTTTTGATACACGTAAAATAAACCTTCGAATTCTCTCTCTCTCTCTCTTTATTGTTTTTAACTATGTTCACAAAGATTGAAACTTACAGTTAAACACTCGTGTTTCATTTATTATGGAGGAGATTTTGACGACTGGTTATAAGGTTGTCCACGTCATAAATTCCAATAACCTTCAGGTGGCTTACTAAGGTCGCTCTTAATTTCGTACACACACATACACATACAATCTAATTATTTTTGAAATAAAGTAATTTTTGAAATATGTACGTTTCAAGTTTAACGGATAAACTAATTTAAATTCAATCTAAATATTTTATAAATATATGTATATATGTATATGTAAAATATACGGTTATGATCTTGACAAAAAATATAAATAAATAATTATTGCTATTACTTCCCTCTTCTCAGATACACCGATTTCCTACAAATTGTTTTGTTGACATCCAAGGAAAGAAAATTAAATTTTTTGCGTAACGACGAATTTGATTTGATTTGTTAATTGCAGAGGGAACAGATATACCAAGTTCAAAGGGATCCAATCACGAATCCTTTGGATCATGTATTTCATTTACGTTCTTATACTTGGACTCTAACACCCGACGAGATATATTCATGCGAGATACGCTATCGGCCACACGTTGCGTTTTCAAAGGACGTTGACTATTTTATAATTATAGATAGCAGTGCAGAATGTACGAAAATTATCACCTATGGATCTAGTATCGGTATTTGTCGTAAAATACATACTTTATTAACGCATCGTGAAATTTTATTTCACGCCTCTGTTTATACATTTTATATGTGCGATTTGTATGTCAACTTTCATCTACATATGTGTACTCGAATAGGTCCGGAAGTAACTTGTTCAGTAAGAAAGATTTTCATGAGTTGTACAATGGAGAATCCAGAAATGAAGAGGCGAATTAAATTAACGAATAACTCTAATGTTGCCGCAACCTTTATGTTTGATATAGACGAGAAACATAAGCCTTTTCAATTAGACACAAGACACGGTATTATCAATCCTTGGTCTCATAAGTATATTACAATTACGTTCACATCTTCGAAAGAGGGGAGATATACTTATTATTTGGTTGCTTTGATTTTATATCAAGTAAATTAAACAATTGGATCAACATTGATATGTAATTTTTATCGATTTTATTGAAAGATTTATTTCATCTATAGGAACCAATTATTATAGAATTATATGGCTGCTGTAGCTTATTAACTTTTAAGAAGGATACCGTAGATGCTGTTACTTATCCTCTGAAAGAGAAAGATGGTTTTAAAGGATATATGAAAGACGTTATTGATAGATTAGGGGATATCCCACCAATATCATTATCAAAGCATTATTTTAATCTTGGTCAAGCTGATGTAGATATAGAAAATATCAATCCAAGAATATCTCATTCGATATGTCTCACAAATCATAATTATTCAAATTTGCTAATTACTTGGGAGAAGGGTAATTTACACACAGTTCATCCTGTAATATTATTTTTTAATTCATTTGTTGCATTGTAGATGCTGATAAAATTTTTAATATAACACCTTCTGAGTTGTTAGTCCATGCATATCAATCTGCTTTATTTGAACTTACGTTTAATCCTGATATAAAATGTAATCTATACGGAAGAAAGATTATTTGTTCTGTTTTTTTGGAAAATAAACAGCTCTCTACTTTTCCATTTGTTACATCTGCAACAGTGATAGGTATAATACTATATTACGCAAAAGCTTAATGTTAAAACTGATTAAAATTTGATATATTAAAATGTTTAAAAATGAAAGCTTTATAAAGAATTTAAACATCTCTCAAAGTATCTCTTAGGTCACTCTTTTCCTGTTATATCGAATGGATGGATTCCACAGTATGAAATACCTCAAACTGTAATAATGCCTCCATGTGTACCACCATATCCAGTTTATACCACTTTTCTCATTAAAAGATTTGGACACTTACCTCTCATGTTTCAATTTGTTTCACCATCAACAACTTATTTTCTTGTTAAACCAATGATTGGTGTAATTTATCAGTATGACATATAATTTCTAAATGCATCTATGGATTTATTATTGACTAAAAATTATTAATAGCTGAACTATTTAATTGCAGCGATTATCAAATAATTATGGTTGAAATGACACCTAAGCCCCAGAATGAACAGATTTATATAGAAAGATGGACAGTATATTTTAATGGAAATATGAAAAATGAACATTATATAGATTTTAAAGGATACGCAGAGTATGCAAATATTGTTTTTAGCAATAACAATACATTAAGTTTTCCATCAGTCATGTCAGGTTGCCAACAGTTTTTAGAACTTGCAATGAGAAATGTTACTCGTCATAAAATGAAGTAAGCCAATTTATTTACTTAAAAAAAAAATGAGTAAAATATATTTTAACATTAATTTACTTATTTATAGATATCAATTTTATCAGTTGCCACCTGAACTTAATATGCAATCTATAGATGGAGAAATTGATGCAAATGATACTTTAAATCAAGAATGTACCTTTTTTCCAATTATGCCAGATATAGACTATGATTTTGAGGTACAATGCATTTTAATTGTCGTAAAAAATGGAATAACTGTTGGGTCGAAATGCTGCGTAATTTTACGTGTTCGTGGAAGTAGCAAAATAGGCTCATTAAAGGTAAAATTTGTACAAGATAATTTGCTATTTAATATAAAGTAAAAATGGAAAACTTTACTTTTATTCGCCTGTTTCTTTTAGGCAATTCCAAACGAATTACATTTCGGAGAGCTGGAATATAACGATACGAAAACGTTGCATTTCGATCTTATTAATTCTAGTTCAGTAAATATTTATTATAAACTAATTTGCGTTCATCGTAATTGGCCATTTGAAAATATTGAAGAAGATGTTAAATTACATCCAGTGTCGGAAACGATTTTCTCAGGATCACGTAAAAGAATTATGGTTTCCATTACTCCGCGTACAGCAATATATTATGAAATTGCAATTCAATATTTGATAAGAATTAATTTTCGATCAGATATATTAATAGATAAACAAGATCCAGTACATATTTGTAATGTGTACTGCATGTGTATCTTGCCAACAATGAAAGTAAAATTAAAATTTATTCGAGTATAAAAAATTGAAATCATAAAATAATGTTTATATATATATGATATTTGCATTAGGTACAAAATATTTGTGCTTTTGCATATAATCAGCATTGTTCAATACATATAAGCAAACAATTTTTATGGAAGAGACTGCAAATAAATAGGTAAATTCCTTGTTTTATCTGTCTTGTATAATTGATATGATGTAAGTCATGATTAATTTTTTTTTTAGATTAAATGAAGTATTAGAAAACATATTGCCAGGAGAAACAAGAACTATAAATATCGATCTTTTCCCGATGCTCATAAATAAAGGAACTACATTAGTAGAATGGATAATGATCAATCTCTCATCATTCCCTATTAAATTGGCTTCAAAAAGAATCAAAACATGTTCTTGTAAACCTATAGTAAAAACAGTTCGTTATTTACCTCAACATACAGAAACTGATTGTGTACATACGGATCTTTGTGTAATGTACATAGACTCGGAAATATTACAAGTATGACCTTTTTATTCTTAAGTTTGCAAAACATATCAAATTATTATTACAACATATTAAATACATATAGAAGAGTAATACTAATTAATGATGTTTTACAGCCAAAGAAAAAAACCGTGATTGGTATGAAAATTCATTACACATTAGTCGGAAGAACAATAATATGTTGGGAATTGAATATTGGACATGATCGTCATATTATGTTAAATGTAATAATTAATTGTTTAACCGAGTCTCAGTCCCAAAATAATTTCTTAAGCACTACACTCGTAAATTTCGGAAAAATTTATCTTGGAAACAAGGCGGCAATGCATAGGGTATAATTTTATTTATATAATATAATTTTTATATTATTTTCATTTTATATTTCAATAGTACTCTATATCAGTATAAAAAAAAAATATAATGAAATTCTAGATAAATTGGATATTCAATATTACAAATAATGATTTGCCATATTCTGTAGATATTAGTAATATCTGCAAAATGAATGAAAATTATCATTGTCAGATTTTTTCGTGTTTAACGCAATATGGTACTATAAAAGGTGGAACAGCTGTACCTCTTCTTTTAAAGTTTGAACCAAGAATGTTTGGTGTATATAAGGTATTATAAACTGAACAATTCTGAAATTAAAAAATTAATATTATATCTTTTAGATAACAGTTCCAATAACTATGGGTGATAAAACAGAAGAATTGACACTAGAAGGGGAGTCAACTTCTGATTTCAGATTAGTCAGTATTTCAAAAACAATACCGTCTCAATGTGCTTGTAAAACTCCACTATTTCCTGCGTATTTTAATATTGATTGCATCAATGTATGGTTTCTGTCTACACATAATTCCATCGTTAAAATGCTTTTACTATATAACAATTCAAATTTTGATGCACTCGCCTATGAATGGAAATGGTACTTTTTAAACTTCTAAATTTGTAGATTTTAACATTTTTAAATGTCTAAATTGTTAAATGTCTTTAGTCAAGACATATCGGAAATACTGTACGTCGACATATTTCCTCGAAAGGGCATATTACATCCAAAAGCAGTGCAAAGTTTTAAAATAAAAATTTCTACTAAAGGACATCCTTGTCGAATCGATATTTATGTACCATGTGTATTTTTTAATGCTAGTAAAAGGCGAGAATATCAAAGAAGTATTCTCAAACATGCTATTTTAAACCAAGAACTAAAAGAACAATTCACCATTACAGAAAAAGAAACTTATATAACGGTAACTAATTAATTAATATTCTGCAGCAAACAAATTATGTTATGAGTTTATTATGTTATGAATTTTACATAGAAATCATGGATAGAAATACTTGACCCACCTGATCGATACTATAAAACATTAAGTTTACGTTGCAGTATATATCCTGTTGAAGATGAATACATAAAAATTGACTTATTAAAAGAATTAAAAGCTTCTCCATCAAATATAATTTATTTTGATGATAATAAAAATTACACTGTTTTAAGCGAGAAAGAGTTTTGTATAGTAAAATTTATTTTAGAAGGCTTGTTATGGTAAATATTACCTTTCTATATTTTATTTTTATAAATAATTATTATTATGATTATTAATATGTCATTAGAGTTAATTTTTAGGGATATTATCAACAGTGAAAGATTTAAGAAACTAATTGAAAACGCATTAATTCCTGAAAGAAATTTGTATTATACGCAATTTATGATGAATTTTTGGGATCGAAAGAGATTAATACGAAGATCGTACATATCTCCGCCATTATCTCTTATTGATTCAATACTAGAACAAGTAAAAAAAATAATTTTTACTTGTCATATTAATTTTCGAGAAAATTAACATGACAAAATTAATATGAAAATATGAATTTTATAGTTACATCCTTTCAGATGTTATTTATGATAATACACGATGAATTTTCCCTAAAAACTGCACATTTAATTCCCAATGAAGACATACGGCATTATAATTATCTTAAAATGTTACCCAAACAAAAAAGAACCGATCTCGAAAATGAGTTAGACAAAGGTAGTAATCTTTCAATTTTTTGTAGATTAATTTTTTATTAATCTCTGTTAAAATAAAATCATTTATTTAAATGATTCCATTTTAGATTATAATAAACCTAAGTTTGATAATGATAATGATGATGATAATAATAATGATAACGATAATGGTAGTGGTGATGCTGTTACTGCTGATAATGATGACAATGATGACGACGACATAGATTTAAGAACAGGATTTAGAGTTTCCTTCGTAGAATAATTAAAAAAGATGACTTCATTTATATACAAATATATAAACATAAATATAATGTCAATTAATTTTTTTCTCAAATGGGTCTGGAATACGTTTAAATACAGCCAAAAATTTACATCCCTTATTTCTTGTTACTTTTTGACCTTCTTCTGTACTTTCATATAACTTTTCAACAATAGGATCTTTGTCCTTTATAAAAAATATATTTTATAAGGCAATGTTCAATTTTAATTTTATATATAAGTAATGTATAGCAAAGTCTTACCAATTCTTCTTTAGATACAGCATCAAATAATGGATGTTCGTGAAAATGTTCCACTATCCATTCATGTAAGTCTTTAACATCTGTCACCGTATATACAATAGCCTTTAAATGATATTCATTGTTACTTATTGATATAAAAAAAAGAGCATTTAAATAATATTTTACAGAATACATTACTCCTTCAGCTAGTACATAAGCATATTCTGCCAGAAGTGTTTTATTTATAATTCTCCATTTGTGTTTAGACTTCTTAAAATGCGGATCTGGATACAAGAAGAACATCTTCTTCAACTACAAACATATAAATCATTTATAAAAATAAAAAATTGTAAGTTTAAAAATATGATTACCTTGTGTATGTTATACCTGGCCTTTGTAAAAGTAATTTGGTAAATACTTCATTGCATTAGTCCTCAAGCAGGCAATATTTTGATATTGTCCAGGATTTTGTGATCTTAATGCAGCTATACGATCCATAACATAATCAGAAACTTTTACTCTAATTTCCATTCCAAGAATTAACTTATCAGGAAACATTGAAGATAGTGTAACTATTGCAAAAAGGATTCTATTAATACCATGAAAAATAATATAATATAAAATTAAAATAATTTTATACCTAATAAACCTCCATAGCCACAACCAATATCTACAAACTCAACGTGTTTCTGTGAAATATTTTGTTTTTTGGATTCTTCTTTATTAGTTGGGAAATAAAATGGATATAATGAACTCCAATTCATTAAATCTGGTTTAATAGGACTGAAATTATATTCAAGAAAAGAATGAGTTTGTAGATAGAATTAAATTTTTTGAATGTTATATTTTTTTATAGAAAATAAATACATACTATTCTAAGCAATGATCCGCTATGGGATTCGAGTGTGCACGTTGTCTGTAATATTTTTTTTGTGGCAATGGTAGTGGTTCTGACATGATAGTTGTCAAGAAGCAGTGCACGTGGATAACACAATAACATATGAAACCTAACCTAATCTAAATCTTAATAGACAATAAGCCTACAAAATTTCAAGTTAACATTTGTTAAAATGTTATGTGTGAAAATATAATTATAATATTAATAATAGTCGAGAATCATTATATATTATACAATATAAAAATGTATATTAAATTAATATTGAAATTAATATTAAATCTTTTACTTTTAATAAACTAATTTATGTATAATAATATAAACAATTGGAGGAAAGATAATATATATATTTATTATATTTAATATATATTTATTTCTTTATTTATAAAAAAATGAAATGTTTATTAAAGATACATGTATAAAATTGTATTTATATGCATAGTTGCTTTATATTTTACAGTTTAGAAAGAATACAGCAAATTTAAGCACATATGTATATATAGATTAATTAACGCATCAAAAAATCTGTATGCTGTCATTTCTTGTGAACAAGATTCGCTACTGATGACCTTTCATGAAACCTTTAAATAGCTGCCTCAAAGTAGGACCATTTTCATGAAGATGATTCCAAGAAATACTGGGACGTTAGATATGATGCAAGACAGATTTGTCCGAATATTTTCAGTCAGACTATCCTCTTCTAACAGGCTTGCAGGATAAGTATGGAGCTTTCTGTATAAAAAAGAATATTGTAAGTTACACTAACTTCTTTTTATAGTTGAATGTGTTTCTAACTTTTAGTATAATTTTAACAGGAATATAGAATAATACCAGAAATCGTTTACAAGTAGCTAGGATTGTGAAACAAGGATAAATATAATGCTACTATCTTTATTTTATATTTCAATTTGTTTTTTCTAATGGTATGTTTATTCTAATAATAACAGGAATATAGAATGATGATAGAGGTATTAGATAAAGAATGAAGATGAGGAAAAATATGATATATGAGTTACCAACTTTAAGTTATAATTAAGTTTGCTCCTATTACTTTTACTTTGGTATCAATAGGAGCATTAGACGAATATCTCAGAAACCAAGTTGATGAATTTTTATTTTTTGTTGATTTCTTAACTTTGTTGCGTATATAAGTACTCATGAAAGTTTATAAATGCATGATTTGAAATTTCTGATGTACTTTCTATAATTGAAATCTAGATTCAGTAAAATTCAATAATTTAAGTTGACTAAAACATGTGAAATAATAAAATTTTGATCTTTAATGAATCAAATTTTGGATCGAGCAATTAATTAGCATTATACAAGTTTGCATCAGGTTATGGTTATAGCGGATGCGTGACAAACTTGATGCATCAAAACTATGGAATCTATATCTATATTCTCATAAGAATATGTATTTTAATTTTCAAATATTTCCATAATTGACCAAAATACATAATACGTGCATCTCCTGCAACCATAGTTTTGTTCTAATCATGGCGCACGTGCATGAGAAATCAGCTGTTCGATGTTTATAGTGCCATCTGGTGGGTGACGCTATGTACGTTAAATGAAAGACGGCGGAGTAATATTTTCGTGTTCACGATTTTACCGTGTGACTGAACGAATTCACTGAGTCGTTTAATCGACGAGATGTGAGCGACGATTTGATATAGAATGTTGTTTCTAATTGACTGTCCACATTGACGAGTAACGGAATTCGGCTACACATTCGGTTGGAAATATCGTGCACTCTCAGGTGAGGTTAGAATCCTCTCGACAAAAAAGCTTTTCTCTACTCTCGTGTAGTCTGAAATCGCTTCGCAGAAACTAAAACACGTTAGAAAGTGACAAAGTGTGATCACTTTTTTTTTATTTAATGTACTTTCATGCTATTGTGTACTTTTTTCTGCGTTTTTGGGGGAGATTTAAGCCTACTACGGTCTTCAAATCGCATTCGACCGAATCGTCAATCTTTTTAACATTTCTTAAGTTTTAGAATACGAAGAAAATCGTTGTCAATACGTATGATTTGATTTTAAGATTTATACATTAGTTATTCTTGAAAGTAAATTTAAAGATTAAGATCTTTTTTTTCGTTGAAACGAACGAAACAAAAGGATATAAGGATTTGAAAGTCGTAGCATGATTAAATTAAAAGTATCTCTTTATTCTTTGTTTTACATTACATTTTATATAATAAATAATTTTCATGTATTGATTGGTATCTAAAGCAAATTAAAATTCTTTTCGTATCTTTTAATTCTAAATTCGATTTTTATCGATATGTTCAAAATGATCGATCTTTTGTGCAATTGCTTTTAGATTGAGTAACTACGATTTTACATCATACATGACGACGACGAATATCCGGGGGAATCGATCTTTTGTTTAATTGGTGAGTTTGATCGATACTTTAAAATCATCGATTGACGATCGATATTATTAGTAAACTAATGTGTTAGTACATCGTTTCATGTTATTGCTTAGTTGTTCATTTTCAATTTTTCCATTGTGTGAAATTCTAATTATTTATAAATGATATTAATAATTATTCATACAAATTCATACTCTTTTGAAGACTAGTATATATCAATTTGCACAATGATTTTTGAATTATTTTGAGATTATTTAGAGATTAAACTTTTTTTTTAAAGAAAAATTATTAGATAAAATATTGTTTAGTACGAACCGAAAATTTTTTAATTAAAAGTAAATGTTCGTGTATATATAAAGTTGCAATAACATGAAAAGAGCTACTGATAGCTAATCATTTAAGCTACTAGATAGAGATTTGATACGACTATAATTTTATTTCTTAAACATATAATATTAACGTGTACAAAAATTTATTTGTACATTGCATTTATTCATATTACATTTCCACGTTTATTCCCGTTTATTGTACGCTCTCAAAATGTATCTCAAGATCGATATTCACGTAAAATAGAACTATCATGTCATTCATACATGACATAACATGTATCTATATAGATACAAATGTACTTACTCTCATCTGTAATTTTATATGAGAATATCGTTTCAAACTTTCTTAATTGATCTGTTTATGTACTCGTATCACGAAAGACTATTAAACTCCGTGGCTTTTTGTTTCATTAATGACAATGGAACAAATTATACATTAATCTTTATTAACACGTTGACGAGGAAATTTACACGCTTTGTCTATGGAATATTAAATTTCTACGAGGCAGGATATTTAATTAGAAATTAGATGTTAATTAATATTTAATATTAATATATAATTTCCATGAAATATTACATTGCAACGAAGTACAACGGAAGCGTACTTTTAGTTCTAGTTACTTATTCTAGTTACTTTAAATTCTTTGTAAATGATAATTATTTTAAAATACGTATAAAAATAGATCAATAGTGGCCAATCAACGTGTTAATAAATTCTGCTATTCTCCGCAGCTTTCTTTCACACTTATACCCTTTCAGATATACATTCTTTGACTTTTATATATTTACAAGATCAGATTATACATTACGTTTGGAAAACATAAACCCTCTGGTGTTAATCGTCGGAAACATACGTAGTATGAAGAACCGATATAATGTCCATTGTATCGTATATTCATGGAACAATGGAATCGTTGACGCGAACGTAAAATTTTGTTACTTATTTTCCAATGGGGAGATTAACTCTCTTGATGGTAGGTGTGATCAAGTTAGTCCGCTTTCTCGTGTAAACATGATCGAATGTGCCCCGTCTGAATACGAAGGAGGCACGCTTTTATAACACGAAACGGCGCGGCGTCGCCGTGAATGTTAATCGTTTAGTGTCAATAAGTTCGGTGTTGGTGTTAACGTACGTTTCAACATTGAAGTCAACGTGTCATTAAACAATATGACCGCTTGGTTGTTAGATCGATGGATGTGGTTATCATTCGATTCGGATTTGAGCTGGGTAAATCACACACGATATTCGTAACTGATTTCAAATCGTGCGCATGCGCAGTCGACGTTATTGCGTGCAACGTAACCGAAATATAACTGAATTTTCATTTGCGTTACACTGGATTTGTTGAAGAAAAATTTAGACAGAAGATCCGCGTGAAATTTGACGTATCTTTGTCGAAACTCTTTGTTTTCTTAGATTTTGCATTGTAGAACGGTAACGGTAATCGTTTAGGCACACGATTTTAAAGAAAATACATATGAACTATATGACTATGAGTAACTTCAATTTTTCGAGATGGGTTCCGCCACGCATAAAAAGATACGTAAAAGATGAGACATTTTTTAACCCACCTAACCCCAAAGAGTTAACTGGAGGAGAAAATGAATTGCTCAATTTGTACGTATAATTCAGTTTTCACAAAATTGGCTCAAATTGAATTCAAATGAAATGACACGTGGTAAAATAATTCAATTTATTTCTGCAATTACAGGTTACAGAAAAATGAGATTGTGGCGTTGATTATGCGTATTTGTAACAGAAAACCGTCGGTAACCAAAAAATTGATCATTTATTATATGATATTCTTTCTGATCAGAATTATCTAAACTGGGATACTAATTCTTCTTTTAGATTATATTGTGATTTCTAATGTATTACCATTATACAAGGTATACACCACGTTGATGGAAAATTATATGAACATCATCGGAATAATGTTTTGTCGACGCAGATTAATGTTCCGAAGTCGTGAGAAAATAACTTAGAATACACATATACATATAGTACATATGTCGTAAGACGATCTCCTGAAATTTGTGTACTCGGTCGATTCACAAAGCCGCGAAGAATGCGAGAGTGGCAGCGGCGAGTTGGCACGGAACGCCGTAGTACGTACGGTTTCGATTCATCTGCTGTTATCTGAAAATTCTCCGTGCCCTACTTATTTATATTTATGTATTTGAAACGGCGACCAAGCGAATCGTTGTCGGGCAGCATGACCGAATTCCCAGAAATTCATCCCTGGTAATCTTGTTACTCTCCTCATACCTTGTTCGTTTTTTTTTTTTTT